AGATCATTAAATGTAGGTTGATGCGTTACTCAACTAGGATTGCACAAAACCTACCCCCTGGATTTAGCAAGAGCAGTGCTGAATGTTGGTAGTTTTTTTGTTACTAGAACTGTAAATATCTCACAACTTTAGTGTATCCAGGTGGATTATACCTTGTTTTTTTCATTGGTGGTAAATGGTAATGGATATATCCTAATTTTGTTTTATTAAAGGAAAACTGGCCCAAAATAATAAAAAATTTTTTAGCTGTACCTCTGTAACTATTACAATGTACCACTGCCAAAATAATGTGCAAAACCCTGTAATTGTAGTACGTAAACACACTAACAATGATACTCATTAGGCACTGAACTAGTTAAACTTTTTTTTTTTTTTTTTCAGCCCCCTTTTCTTTTTTTTTTTTTTTTTCTTTTTTTTTCCCCCCTACAAACTTCTCCATCTATTTCTCCTTGAAATGTCTGTTTCTTATCTTGACAGATGAGAAACACAAGGATGGGCTATAGGATAATCATTGTGAGATCCAATCGAAGGCTAGCACAGCGATCATGTGATCCGTATCTGGTTCCCCCAGGTCCCAATTGTTGAGACCCAGGTCTGTCAACGACAATCGGTCTCCATGCTGGGAGTGTGCTGTCGGGTGCGCTCCCAGCATAAACAGAGGAAGACAGACATATATGCGGCGCCCAGGTTTAAAGCCCACCTACTAGATGTATATGTGTTATGGGGTTGTAAAGGGGTTAAGCTTTAGTACATGCAAGTTAATCTTTTATTTATAATACTACTGAAAAAGTAAAGATTTTTCTTTCCTTTTAACACCACTTAAAAAAAACACATCAATCTTAATATCCATCGTCCTATGCGTTTAGTGTACATTGTGGTGCATTTTGGTGCAGTTTTGTGTGCATGTAACACCTGTTAAAAAATATTTTTAAAATGAATATTTAAGCCTTTTCTAAATTATTGTTTTCTTTAAATGCATTAGTGTGTTATTGAGGTGTCCTTAATAATTAGACCATAGTACAATTAAAAAAAGTGTTTTGAAGTGTCCCATTTAGACTTGTTAGTGATGACTCCACTGTCCGCAAAATGACAATGCAGTGACAATAGATTTATGTCTCACCAGTGCAGCAGCCAGTTCCAGCAGTGTGTCTGGTGTAATTGAAACCCCAGCTGTGATGTCATCTACATCTCTAACATACATTGGTCAACAGGTAGTCTGAATTCTCTGGCTTTTTTTCCATTGCAATATCATTTTTGTAAACAATTTACAGTTTACTGTATTTAGACATTTTTAGCATTTGAACTTTAAATATCGTTGGATCTATTTTGTGCTCTATTCTTTTCTGTTCTATATTATATGTAATGAGCTTGAGAGTTTTGTGCCCTTATGTTGAAAATAGTTTGATCAGTATGATCAGTACTGTTGCAGCTGACAACTAGCACACTAGCTGATCAAAATTAAAGCCCATCTACAGGCACATTTACCCCCCCCCCCCCTTTTCTCACCTTCCCTCTTGCCTTGTGAAGCAAGGTATATACTAAGTGCAGTCAGGGTCTCAATGGAGCAGTTTCCTTGTGCAAAGGACCTCTGTGTGCTGCAAATGTGCCCACACTGGGCAGTCACCTCCACCAGTTCTCTTCTGGATCGTGACAGAACCCAGCCATGGGGAAGTGTCCACGTCATGCAGGCAGTTATGTGGATGCCCAAAGATGGATCCAGCTTTATGTAAACAGAAGCAGGGAGACAACTCATGACAAGAGCATCATGTGTGACATTTAGGTGTGTATGTATATGCCACCATTTTCTTCTGTAGGGTGTCTGCTGTCAGAAAATATATAATTTGGTGGTTTTAAAGAAGTATAGCCAAAGCTTTTCTGGCTATACTTCTATGGATCACAGGAGTTCAGTTAGTTCTGCACTCCTGTGACCTGTTTTCAGCTGACATTATAGAGCCGGTTCGGGCTCTGAAAAGATCCTGACCATATGATCAGGATCCACCCAGAGGCCTGGACTGGCACCTGGTACCAGCCTCTCTGTGATCTGCTAATAGCCTGAGCCAGCCCCTCCTGTCCCCTTCCCAGCCCAGTGCTCCAGTGAGCGCTGGAGGGGCACAGCAGAGAGTCGGTGACTGACAGTCATGGCTCTCTGCTCAGAGTGAAGGGGAGAACTGAGTGATCAGTGGTGTTTGATCACTCAGAGTTAGTCTGGCTCAAAAAAGTCAAAAGTCTGTCTAGTTTAACCAAAAAAAGTTATAATTCTATACCCACAGTTGATCCAGAGGAAGGCAAAAAACCCAGTGAAGCATGATCCAATTTGCTCCTGCAGGGGAAAAAAAATTCCTTCCTGATCCCCCGAGAGGCAATCGGATATTCCCTGGATTAACTTTACCTATAAATGTTAGTAACCAGTTATATTCTGTGTATCCAAGAAAGAATCCAGGCCTTTTTTAAAGCACTCCACTGTGGTGGCCAGAACCAACTCTTGAGGGAGTCTATTCCACATTTTTACAGCTCTTACTGTGAAGAAACCTTTACGTCTGGAGGAAAAGAAATTTAATCTCCAAATACGGAATGAGTGCCCCCTTGTCCTTTGTGATGACCTCAAGGGAAACAACTCTAAACCAAGTTCACTATATGAACCACTGATGTATGTATACAATGTAATGGAACCGACCCAGTCTGCGCTTGGGTACTTCTGTTATAATACCGCTTCCCCATCCAAACACAGACCACAGACACACAGCCGACACCAATCTGTCTGAACATGGAACTCTTTATTTGAAACTCGAACTGTCTTTTTATACACTCGGGGGACAATTCCCCCTCCCTGCATAATGTCACAGGGCGGGGCAATCTACACTTAGCAACCAGACACACAGGTATTCAAACTTCACACCAGCTGACAGTCCCATAGGGAGGGCTGCTGGAGACCCCCCCCCCCCCCCACTAAGCTAATATACATAAACACATACATCCCATAATAGTTTGTTCCCAAGCCAGACACACAATAGAACAATGGGATGCAACCACATGGCATTAAACGATCAACAACCCTCACCCCAATATTAGGACAGATCACCATGTACCCTTAACAGGCACAGGGTGACTTACACATATTAGGGATATGGGGAGCTGAGACAGGGGTCTCCCCACTTCTCCAAAGTGAGCTGGATTCCATGGGCCCCCCACCCAAAGATCCCCCTTAATCTCTTCTCAAGAGGTAATAAATTCAATTTTCCTCATAGCTGAGCTCCTCCATGCCTCTTATCAGTTTGGTTGCCCTTCTCTGTACTTTCTCCAGTTCCCCAATTTTCTTTTTTTGTATTGGTGCCCAAAATTTAACTGCATATTCCAGATGAGGTGTTACTAATGCTTTGTACAGGGGTAATATGATATCTCTCTGCAGTCCATAACTCTTTTAATATAAGAGGATTTTGCTCGCTTTAGAAACCGCAGCTTGGCATTGCATGCCATTATTAAGCTTGTGATCTACCAGAACTCCCAGATCCTTCTCCACCATTGACTCCCCCAGCTGTACCCCCCCTAGTATGTATGATGCATGCATATTCTTAGCACCCAAGTGCATAACCTTACATTTATCAACATTAAACCTCATTTGCCACATAGTTGTCCAACTAAACAGTGCATTGAGGTCGGCTTGTAAGTTGGAGACATCCTGTAAGGACGTTATTCCACTGCACAGCTTGGTGTCATCTGCAAAGACTGAAATGGGATTTTTAATCCCAGACCCTATATTGTTTATAAATATATTAAAAAGTAAGGGTCCCAACACTGAACCTTGGGGTACACCACTGATACCCCTAGACCATTCAGAGTATGAATCATTTAACCATTACGCTCTGAATACGATCTTTTAGCCAGTTTTCTATCCATTTACATACGGATTTTTCCAAGCCTGTAGACTTTATCTTACACATTAGCCGTGTGTGGGGAACTATGTCAAGCGCTTTTGCAAAATCCAAGTATACCACGTCTACCGCCACCCCTCTGTCCAAGGTTTTGTTCACCTCATAAAAAGAAATCAAATCTTTCACGAATCCATGCTGTCTGTTGCTTAAAATATTTTTTTCCAGCAAGAACCCCTCTATGTGGTCTTTTATTAAGCTCTCCAGTATCTTCTCAACTATAGTTGTTAAACTAATAGCTCTATAGTTACTTGGTAAAGATTTTGACCCCTTTTTAACCCCTTGACGCCGACCGTATGCAAATATGTGGCCTCTTGGTGGCTGGGCCTTTGACGCCGAGCGGCCACATATTTGTGTACCATTTGAAAACACATATGTGCTGAGAGCGCATGCCCTGCACGCTCCCAGCACATATGTCGGTGTCTCATGGAAAGGTCCCGATCTCCCTTACGATCGGGACCTTTTCTGATCATGTGACTGCCGTGACAGCGAATCATGGCGGTCACATGACCCTAAAACCCCGCCTTACCTCCCGGCTTCTGAAACCCCTTAAAGGGCCAGTGTGAAGAGGACACACTTGTATAGAATGGATGGCATGAAAGGAAGCCAGCCATTGTATAGAACTGTCATGTGACCTGCTGTGATTGGTCACAGCAGGTGACATGGTACTGGCAATGGGGCCGGTACACAGACCTGTCATCAGCTGTGTCCGAGGTACACGGCCGGTGACAGATCTCGCCGCTGCTCGATCTAGGAAGGACGCCATGTAGGACGAAGGGATGAAGTGTTTGCCAGCCGCCATTTGGCCATAGGCCGGGTGGCAACTGGTTAACCATTAGCCTACAGGGCACTTATACCCCCTTCCTGCTGAGGCCAATTTCCAGCTTTCAGCGCTGTCACACTTTGACAATTGCGCAGTCATGCAACACTGTACCCATATGAAATTTTAATCATTTTTTTGTGACAGAGCTTATTTTGGTGGTATTTAATCACCTCTGGGTTTTTTATATTTTCTTAAACCAAAAACCACTGAAAATTAAAAAAAAAAAAAAAAAGTTTTTTTCATAGTTTTTGTTATAAAATTTTGTAAATAAGTGATTTTTTTCTCCTTCACTGATGTGCGCTAATGAGGCTGCACTGATGGGCACTGATAGGCTGCACTGATAGGTGGCACTGATGAGGAGGCACTGGTAGGTGGCACTGATGGGCATTGACAGGCATCACTGATGGGCACTGAAAGGCAGCACTCATATGACACTGATAGGCGGCACTGACGGGCACTGTTAGGTGGCACTGGCTGGCAGCACTGATGTGCACTGTTAGGTGGCACTGATAGGCGACACTGACTGGCACTGATGGGCGACACTGACTGGCACTGATGGGTGACACTGAAAGGCAGCTCAGATGGGCAGTGGTATTTGGCATTGATGTGCACTGGTAGGCACTGATATGTAGCATTGATGTGACACTGATGGGCACTGGCAGGTGGCATGGATGAGCACTGACAGCTGGCACTGATGGACACTGACAGGTGGCACTGCTGGGGCTACACAGATCATCAGGGCCTCTGTGGAATGCCGATTACCGGCTCTCCTCTCCTCACGAGCTGTCAGCGTGAGAGCTCGTGAGGAGAGAAATGCCAACAACCGTCATTTCTCTATTTACATGTGATCAGCTGTGATTGGACACAGCTGATCACATGACGGAGCCGACATCTTCGGCTCTTTTTGTTGATTGGTGATCCGCTGCGTCCGAGGGACACAGCGCACCATTGATCGCCGCGCATGCGCGGTTAGAGTGGGAGGACGTCCTCCCAGAACGAGAGAACCACCTTGCGCCTGTCATTGTACTATATGGCGGGCGGAGGAGGTGGTTAAGAAATTAGAATCTCTAAAACAGCCATGATCCTGGTACAATTTTGTAGAGCTAGATTTCCAGTAAAAGTGTTCCAGCCACCCAATCACTTTAACAGTGCTTTGGAGCTACCTAATCTGTGCTTGATCAGATGCTTTGAAGGGCATGGGAGATATCGGGTCTAATTAGGCCCCTGAGATCTCTGTAAAGAGTACCTTTCACTGCCCAAAACTATCACAAGGGGGCTTGTTTTACCCCCTTTCTAATAGCAATAATAGTAAATAAAAAATCAAAGTGTAAAAAAAAAAAAAAAAATCTTAACAAAATTAAAAATACTTAAAAAATATAAAAGCACCCCATTCCCCCTGTGCTGATGTGTAAATGCAAACATGCACACATATGTAAACAGTGATTGGACTCCATGTGAGGCATCTTCATAAATGTCAGAATAAGAGCAATAATTCTAGCTCCATAGCTCATGTTTAACTAAACTGATAAAGGCTGAAAAGTCTCTTAAAGTGTCAATTTTAAATCTTGACATGTTTTGGTATCTATTTACTCCACGCAGCAACATATATTTTACCAAAACATTGTGTATTGTGTTTTTATGCACTCAAATTAATTTGTGTATTTTTTTAGATTGTGTTTAATAAACACCTGTGCAAATATAGTGTAACATAAACATTGTAACAGCCACAATTTTATTCTCCTGGACCTCTGCTTTCAGAAAATTTGCTATGCTTTCCTTGTTCTAATTAAGTTTTCAACAAAAAAAATTGCTGGTTTTCCCCTGCATGTGAAAATTTTATAAAATGCCCGGTAGGCAAATGGATGAATATTGAATTGCGACTAATGGACCATCTAGAACAGGGGTAGGTGACCAAGCAAGCCGGCATGAAGAACAGTGTTTCACAGTAGTGTCTTCTGCCCCATTTCAAATCACTTCCCCCCCCCCCCCCCCCCCCCATCCCCATAGCAGAATTAACTAAAGTAGCTCCCGTGCTCCCGCCCACCATTCAGCACTGTTTTGCCTCTCACTCCACTGTGCTATTAAGCTCTGATTGTGATCTACCTGTTGGCTTCCCGCAATCGATGGGTTGCTAACCCTCCCCCCCCCCCCCCCCCCCCGATCTAGAAGATTATTGAATATGTGTGCAGGCTTTCAGGGGGTTAGTTCAGTAAAAATTCAGCTGACACTTTGTATAGCCAAAAGTCACTTTGGGTGATGATCCAACCATATTACAGATGATAAAGATGAGTGATTGTATATTTATTATATCTAATTTATTGCTGAAAAAGTGCTTAAACACAGAACTACACTACAAAAGCCCCGCAGTCTTGTTAGAGACCCTGTGCAAGACCATTCATTTCAAATCTTCCAGTTATATTTTATGTGCATTTTAATGCATGTTATTTACCTTCAAAAGTCTCCCTTATGTAGATATCCAGAAGTCACTGAGACTGTTGCTGGGTGCTGCTGTCTCTGTTGTGATGTCAGCAGCGCCAGCAGACTTAGATCTATCACTCTAGTGACAGGGTTCCTCCAGAGGTTGCTAGGGGTTACTCAATCAAATTCTGCCTTTTTATATAGCCACAGACACCATTGATCTTTTTATCTGTAAGAGGGTATTCTTTCTAGTGACCATCACACTAATGTTCGGTGAGCTGTGTATATATAGTAATTATTAACTGGGATTTCTACCAAATTCAAAAGCACACTGGTAGTGAATTAAAAATTTTTAATGAAAAAGTAGCACTGTAAGCATTTACAACACTTGTTTTTTCAGTGCTTTTACCTGCAATGTTTTAGTGACAAGATCACTTTAAAGCAGAACTCCAAGAGGTCACTTAAAAATACATCCCATTATGTGTACGATTATAAATTGGTAAATGTTTTAAAATACTACTAGTAAAATTGCCAGTAATGTGTTTTTTATATTTTCACAATGAGCAGAAATCTGACAAAGAATGTAGGTTACATACTGTGGCACAAACGAAATGCATTGCTTAGTGCTGACAATCTGTTTTCAGGCACTGGGAGTCTCAGGGTGAGATGTTTAAACTTATTGGTAGTAAGTTGCTTTTCTCGTGTTCAAGTGATCACACAGGAAGCTGCAGGACTGCAAAAGTACTTGGTGTTACCTGTTAGCTATGCAGTGCATAGGAAATGTAAGTGCAAAATGAGTGGCTGAACAGAACTGCATATATTTTGGATGATAAAACCATTAATATAGATGTATTCCATGTGTATGTTTTAGATGGAATTCTCCTTTAAGAAACAGACTGCACATTACTTAAGTTGAGCCAATAAATCCAGGGATGAATATATGCATCCCTCTTATGTCTGCTTTTAAAACATTAACATTTGTGATAAGCAATGAGTTGGCCTTTCTTAAGGAATACCGGCAATTTTATTTATTTTTCATAGACTTCTATTATAACTGCTCAACTACAATACTAATCTGCTATCTTTCCTCCCATAGGTGGCTCCTAATGAGGGCAACATTCACACCGGTGAGGAGATTGGATCGGGGGGGGGGGGGGGGGGGCACGTGTGTTTTCAGCCTTAGCACATACTCTGCTTGCTACCCAGTCATCTCTATACGCCAGGACACACAGCGAACTTCAGTATCTGTCACCAGTTTAGCACTCACAACTAATTGTATCCATTCCACCAATAAGATCTGTACTCCAGTACACACAGTCTGACAGTATCCATACTACTAGTGAGATTCACATTCCAAACACACACACATCCCATTCATCAGTATCCTGTAACCAGTGAGAGCTGCTGCCAGTACAGAGAGACCGCACAAAAGTATTTGTGCAAGCAGTCTGCATGCATTAATCCCCTCTCAGTGACTGGTCTCCATTGTATGTGTGTTAACCTCATTCTACATTAAGAAAGGGTACATTTTTGGAGCATGTGCCCCAGTAGTATCTGGTATATTATTTAAAATCAGACGGGGTTTAAATCTTTTGCTACTTTTTTGAAAACTAAAAAAACAATATGGTTTAGCAGGTCTTTAAAACTTGATCTTGAAGATGCAGTTGAAATATATCCAACTGACTCCCATGGATTGCAAAAAGTGAGCAGACCTGCAAAAGATGGTCATATTGCTAGATTTGTGGGAGTTCATTTCTACCAGCACACTGAACATTACACTGCTGAGGAAAGTTTTTGGGGAACCTGGTATTCACTGCATTGTTTTCAGGTTGGAATTCTATAAAGCATGTAGTGTACAGTATGTCATAATATTGTGTTCTTAATATTAAGGTGCTGTCCCTCCATGGATGATCTCTGATGAAGAAGACACTATAAACCAACAAGAGATCGGACCAGCATTAGAAGGCTTTCTAAAACACAGTAAGTATTCCTAATACAGTGAAATAATATAGCAAAATATTTTTATAAATTTTCTATTTGTGTGTATATATTGTGTTACTGCTCTTTAATTATTATTTTTTTACCATTGTGAATGATACTTCTCTCAAGATCCAACTGCTTGTTGCCTCAGGGCTCATTAGCAGTTTCCTGAATTGGTCATCCTCGATGTACATCTTGGGAACTGGATCCGGTCACTGTTTGATGCATCAAGTGTAGTTAGCCACGGGGTGCTACACAGGCCTAAGGCTGTGTTTCATTCCTATGGCACCCAGACCTGGAAGATCAATTCTGGGGTATGCCTACCATGATGGGTGAAGTTTGGTTCCCTCCAGGAACATACATAAGGCTCAACAGTTTCCTTGTAGTTATTAATGAGTTCTGTTTTTACATGTGGGGGTGTTCTTCACCAAGTATGTTATTCCCCTCTATAAAGGTCTCTACTTTATTGGCGGTAGGTAACATTTTTCCACTGTTCACCTTTTATAAATTTGATAGGTTTCTCACTCCGCTTTGCTGGTTGGAAGATGACGTAGTTGCAATATGACCTCCAGCTGAAGCACTTCTGCCCGCCATTTTTGTAAGGAGCACTGACAATCTCCCAACTACCTACCTTCCAGAGACACAGCAACAGATCAGTCAGTGCCTGGGTTATAGCGATGCCTTTCCTGGACAAGCAACTCCTCTTTTAGTTCTCACCCATTTCATGACTACCCCACAGGGGATGCCCTGGCACAGAAGAGCGAAGAAAAACAGCAAAGCGCTCAGAACAGTAGCTGTTCCCTGCAACAGAGCATTGGCCATACATTGAAACAACTCCTTTCCTCTAATTCTAGCTCTCTCTCAGGCCTGATATAGATGGCCTATATGATTTAAGGCAGATTTCACTAAAACTATGACTGATTTCTTTGGAGAACTCTCTGCTCTACTAGAATCCTCTGCAGGGGTGTGGAAAATGTTTAAAAAATTACTTGTCCAAGAACTAAATTAGGGTTCCAATATACTTTGTCCCTCATGAAAATCTGCTTGTCCTGAGAAAAAAAATAATAATAATAATTTTGGCCAGTTCGGGAAAATATGAAGGGTTTGTGTTTTTAGCAACAAAAAATTCAAAAGAAATGCATGTCTAACAAATTATGCACTGATTTGCATGTTCATGAGGGAAATAAGTATTTGATCCCCTTCACAAAACTTGACTTGGTACTTGGTGGCAAATCCCTTGTTGGCAATCACAGAGGTCAAACGTTTCCTGTAGTTGGCCACCAGGTTTGCACACATCTCAGAAGGGATTTTGGCCCATTCCTCTTGGCAGATCCTCTCCAAGTCATTAAGGTTTGGTGGCTGACATTTGGCAACTTGAACTTTCAGCTCCCTCCATAGATTTTCAATTGGATTAAGGTCTGGAGACTGGCTAGACCACTCCAGGACCTTAATGTGCTTCTTCTTGAGCTACTCCTTTGTTGCCTTGGCCGTGTGTTTTGGGTCATGTCATGCTGGAACACCCATCCACGACCCATTTTCAA